AAATTCCCCGTATTTACTGTGTGAAAATTTTGATTTACATTAAAAATAAAATTCCAAAAACTAAGGAAACTTCCACGACCAACTAATTTACATAATTAGATAATATGTAAAAGAAATTTAGGTGTATATCGAGAACTAGCTACCGTTACACCTGAAGCTGTATTTTGTGTTTAATGTATAAACAGCGGACTGTTTTCTAGAATCACCACAATGGAGGGATATAGGGAGATTATATTTTGGCTGATCATCCTCGATTATGGGAAGTGTAAATATGAAATTTTCCTGATCCCCTTAAATTCGCTTTTGTTATTTTGTATTTCGCAACAAAATAATTTATGAACTAAATAAAACAGAGATAACTTACAGTAGATTGCTATCTATACTATTAATCACTCGGGGACCGATAAATGGGTGGAAATGTGCTCTGTCGACGTTTAGAAAAACTATTCCCTCTCTACAGTGCCCAATAATTTATCATTCCACCTCATTAATTAAAAATAATTGTATTGAAATGAAATTCAGTAGATACTGAATTCGGAGAGTATTTTAGAGCTAAGGATTTGTAATGCAAATTTCTCTTGTTTCGAGATTGATTGCTTCTGAGTGACACAGATCTGTTTACTCTTTTCTTGCAGGTGAAAACTATACGGTGTTTGTTCCAACCGATCACGCTTTCCACCGATGGCATCCTATCGATTGGGGATTTTACCCCTTTAGCGTGCCCGAGTTTACTGAAAGTGTTATAATTAATCATTTTGTCAAGGGAAACTATCTACAGGATGACGTTAAGGATAATCAAATTGTTACGACATTGGGAGGGCGACAAATCGTTTTTCGCAAAATACGTAATTATCTTTTTTCTTGTTACATTTCGGTACTGACATTTTTTCTATCATTAGCTTTTTTAATGGTAAATGGAGTTCAAGTCGTGAAAGGGGATACACCTGTTGCGAACGGAAACATTATGTTCACGGGAGAAGTTTTATTCGTGAATGAGTCGGTTGTATCGCGTTTACATCAGCAACACAGAGACAAAGAGACGCCGCCACTTCTAGCATTTCCATGGTTTGGGGCGCAATTTCTGTCGCACGCCTTCCTAGCGTTGGAGAGGGATAGGAGATTTTCGCACATTACACGGTTTTTAAATTTGGCGGATTTAGCTCCCCACGTTTCCGGAACAGGTTACACGTTCTTCGTGCCCGTAGATACGGCGTTTGAGGCAATCGGACTGGATAAGATGCCCGACAATTACTTATCAAATGGAAACGGCTTGCAAGTTCTATTAAACCACTTCGTCAAAGGAAGACTATATGACAGAGATTTAAAGGACGGAACGGAGTTGCTGTCGTTGGGGAATAGCACAATCAAAATCGCCCGAAAAAAAGGTAACTCTCCAAGTTATCGATATAATGTGTAATCGTCTTCTTTCAGAAAGGGTCGATGTCAACGACGCAGTTATAGTTGAAAGTGAAGTGTTTGTATACAATTTAGGGACCATGTTTTACATTGACAAAGTTTTGTTTTCCAAAAGAGATTTTTTACCCACAAGTACTATAGCCAACGACATAATACCGACACAGCGTCGAAAAGTACCAAGCATCGTTGAGAAGGTTCCCGACGAGTTGCTGGAAGAGATGGGCTTGGAACCAGATCTGCTAACCGAAAACGACGCAACAACGTCCACAACAGTTTGGAGCACACCAAACGTGACCAGCAGTTCAAATGCCACGATAAAATAATGTTCATCCAATAAACTTGAGAACCATAAGTGTGCGCTTTGTAAATTAAGTATTTAGTGGGCGAATGCGTATATGTTTCTATCATCTGCATCCTTCATCCAGCCAAAAGTATAAAATTAGCTTTGTAAAATAAAATTGACTGATGTAAATGATCATAATAATATAAAAGTAAATATTTTACAAATTTGTAAATTTTATTATGTAACTTACACATTATGGCTAGTTACAGTATGTGTAGTTATAAATGTTATTACTTAATAAGTTTATTACTCGATTTAATAAGAATTATGTTACAATGTATATGTATGTTTTAATGTAAGAAAGGGTGATTATTTTAGTACAAAATATAGTATGAAGTAGTGTTGGCGTTTTAATCGAAATTTTCTTGTGTCAATAGGAAGAAGTAAGTAGAAGCAACTAATGGAACAAGGGCTCTAATAATTTTTGTGAATTTTGAAATAGTTTGTTGGCCCTCTCTTTCGGCAGATAATTTCAAATACTGTAAAAATTGAGCTTTTCTTCCCTGTCACAATAATCCTGAAAATCTCAAGAAGAACCAGGATGCAAGGTAAGTAGTACATTCGCTTATGAATTGCAGGGATTAATCAAAGCAACCAAGCGGTCGTTTTGAAATGTCCTCACAATATTTACAACGGAAATAATCTCCAAGATAAATGACTTAAAAGGTCACATCGTTTTTAATGCCAATACTATAACAGTTATCTATAGTTGTTAAAATAAATTAGTCTGGGTAGGCTGGGCTACCTCGTCGGAACGAGCGCACCGCTAACAGAATTTGCTAGTCCGTGCAAATCGGTTGCTTTAAGTTAAACGGTCCATTAGCTCAAGTAACAATATAAAATTTAATTAATCAGACAAATACCTACATAAAGAATTGACAGTTATCGATATTTGGCGGAACGTTACGGTAATTTTGGGCGCCACCAGAGGATAATAAAGACAACTTGCTCCTGGTCAAGTCCGCCTCTGTCAGAATGGTATTGGAAGCCACGGGCAAGTCAGCTGGAGACAAAGACAAGCGGTCTATTCCAGAGTTCGGAAGATCGGTAACTGGCAAAGAGGCTAAAACAATATTACGGCACATGGCAACGGCGGTAATTTCCCTGAGCGGGAAAGGAAGCACCAATCATTTACGGTATTTACTGGGAAACAAGATGCAGAAACGCAACCCTATAGCCCATTTATTATTAACGGAAAGAAACGTATCAAACGCTTACCTTGAAATTCAACGGTACGGTAGGTAAATTAAGGCCTACTATGCAAGTCGACAAAAAATCAAAAGATCCCCTCTAAATCACCTTCTTCCATTTCATAAAATTCGGCCATTTCGGTGAGGGAGCGCCAGGTTTCCCAAACACCACGACGAACTCTGGTGATAACGTTTAAAATTAAAACTTCTGTAATTAATTACTCGATCCTCTGTTATCCTAAAATCTGGGACCGGTCTCAAATCTAATGATTAATTAGAGCGTTTCGCATGATACCAAACACAATCTAATCAGTCCAACTTTGCTGCAACACATCTGATTAGCTATTTCTCACTCAAATGGCCAGGCTGAAATTTCCAAATTCGGTAGTCCAGTATGGAGTATTGGAATTTTTCGGTCAAACGACACGTTACTTTATCATCGCCCAATCATTAATTAACGGAACTGAAATCATAAATATTTTCCCTCCCCTTCCAATCGAAGACTGCTTTCAGATCCCGTAAAGATAATTAAAATGTTTCTATACGGGAACGTCTACAAACTGCAGATCAGTTACAGTATCCTGATTTCCGTATCGGCGGCCAAAACGGCGCTGCAAATTAAAATCATTACTTTTACCTTATATTTCCAACTCCTAGAGACAATTTTTCACTATGAAGTGCCCTATCAATGCCATTCATTTACCAGGTGTTCATTCAAGTTGGTAGGTAGCTTTCACCCATGTGTAACAGTTTAGTTTATTTATATTCAAATTTCAAAATTACCGCTTGCTACGTTAGGCAGGATATAGGTGAGATGGCGTCACTTGTACGCGTGCTTCTTTCCTCGCGCAGAATCGCGTAATTTTTTTCACTTCATTTCCGTTTTAAAGCCAACGAGGTTGTACTTGTAGAGCGTGGCATTGTGAATTCTTCTAAAACCAGTGGGTAATATTTGCCATCATTCACGTAAAATCTCTGGCAATTTTACCTGTTTTATTGGCGTTGTCGAGTAGAGTAACTCAGAAGCCGTTTTCTCCATTGTGAGGCTATTATCTGGTTGAAGTTCATCGCCCTACCTACATATTCACAACCTCTTGGATAATTTCCATATTTCATTGATTTAAGTATTTTTCATTACCCTCCTGACGATTTCAGGTATGTTATTAAAAATCTCGTTAAGGGAGTGTTACATCTTCATTACTTTTAGGGGGTCCAGGTAGTAGACGAATTCTTGTACCGGTCAATCCATGTAGTAGATCAATCCAGGTAGTAGACGAATTCTTGTACCGGTCAATCCATGTAGTAGGTCAATCCTTGTACAGACGAATCCTTGTATGTAAATGAATTTGCATCTTGCGAATATTCCGGAGTACGAACACCTGATTGCCGGCAGCTATCCGGCGTACCACCGAGTAGATAAGCGCTAACACCTAAACGATACCGGGAGCGACCAGCTGATGGTGGAATTTTCGGAAGATACGATCTTTTACACAACCTTTTTTTATTTGCTTCAATACTGTTAATCTAGTGTAACCTTCCGACGATTTATGATCGGAGCTTTGTATTTTGTTCGCATCAAGTGTTTGAGGTCGTGACTCTCTTCAAGAGCAACGCACCTGTATTTAACGTATGGGTAAACGAGCCGGCTACGAGTAAGCTATTTTTGGCCCTTCCGGCTCATATAATCGTTCCGAGCGTTGTAGCTTGGGGTTTGTTTTTGTGTTACAGAACTGGAACTTCGAAGGAGAGCTCTTTTTCGGAGAAGACAGCGTATGTGTTATTCAAGGTAAGATTTTTAATTTACTTGTACCCAGTGTTGCCTATATGAGTTGTTATTCGGGTTAACTTAATTCAATCTTTGAATCCATTGAAATTTTAACTACATTTTTGCTCGATCATTGTTGTAGGGGTCTGGTAACGTAATTATTAGGGAAGTGTTCATGAATTTATTTGGGGATTATTTTTGTCATTTAAAGTATTTGTTATTGTCGTATTGAAGATACATTTTATTTGCCGATCCTGCACCGTTTTGTCAGGATTAATAAATCAGAATTGCTCGTAGTGAATTTATTATTTGGCTCTCTTGTGTTTTCCCAATTTCTATACAGGAGAGGTCAGAATTTGTGCAAAATTGGGTGGCGCTCAACTAATCATTTCTAGTGACTACCAAAGATCAAAAACTTATGTTATATGCCCAAACGAACAAACCGCTGTGGAAGATTCTCATCTCGAGCCCTTCTTTTAATTAAGAATCTGAGCTAGCTGGCCGTTTATGCGGCGGGGTTTGAGTTTTACAGCGCCGAACTAACCTCACGTTATAAAGTGGCACCCTTCAACGTGTGGCCTGGGCATAATTTGTTTAAATTTAAGTTTTTGGCCTTATTTTTAAATTATCTCTTCTAAATTGAACTTCGTACTTGCAACTTATTTTTTATTTGTGGTTATTACTGATATTTGTGTATTTCTTGGTATTTAACAGGTACCTATATTGTGTTATCTTTTTATATTTGTATTTTGAATTTATTGTGTGATCATGGCTATGGAAATTAACCGATTAAGAGAGACTGAACTCCAATATGAAATTGAGATTAGAGCGGGACAAATGGGGAGTAATATGAACGAAAGTCGTTTAATTCTCAGAAAATTGTTAGAGTTAGAGAAAGCACCTGGTTATGTTGCTCCAGAGTACCCTTTTACCTTTGCTCAGGATTTAGCTGCTCTTACTGAATTGACAGTGATCCTTCAGAATAAGATTGACAATTTTGATGATGCTTTTGGGGGAGGTTCATATTTGTCAATTGTTACCATGCTAGCTCATGCCGACAGACGTTTACATAGGACTCGCACATTATTGCAGCCTTCTGCTGAACAATTAAGTAAACTTGGGGAATTAGTTGGTTTATTTCGACAATTAAGAGCTTCACTCGATAACAAAGCTTTTCATTTTAACGACTCAATTATGCCTTCAGCAACTGCTGTAGTTTCTTCTACACCTACTAGACGTACTGCAGAACTACAACCAAGATTATCCGTACCGAGTACTCCTGTACATAAATGGGGATTAAAATTTTCCGGGGATAGTAGAGGTGAAACTTTGAATTCATTTATCGACCGAGTTGAGCGAATGGCTCGTGCTCGTGGAGTAGATCATCCAACTTTATTTGAGACTGCCTACGATTTATTTGAAGGTACTGCGAACACCTGGTACAACATTAATTCTCATAAAGCTACTTCATGGGAGCACTTAGTGCAATTACTACGAGATGCATTTCTACCACCACACTATGAGGAAGATTTGCTCGACGAAATTAAAGCTCGTTTACAGGGTCAGAATGAAAAAGTAGACATTTATTTTGCAGTAATGCAGGGTTTATTTTCACGACTAAAATTACCACCTCCAGAATATGAACAAGTCCGTTTAATTAAACGCAATTTATCACCATTTTATTTGACTAAATTAGGTCCTAATGTTCCTCAGACATTAGATGAACTTTTAATTGAATGCAGACGTTTTGACGATATCAAACATGATTTAGACAGACACCATGCCTTACGCAACCGAACATCATTACCATTACTCGAACCTGGGTTTAGCTGTCCCACCAGTAGTCGACAAATGTCACCACGTCCACCTATTTATGCAATGGAAACTCCAAATTCTCCTTGCTTTAATTGCCAAAAATTAGGTCATCATCGTGTTGATTGTCCTGAACCAAGGCAATTATTTTGCTGGAAATGTGGCGCACAAGGCGTTACGGTGCGCAGTTGTTCTTTTTGTTCGGGAAACGCTCCGAGAAACGC